GGACGGAATACCGCCAGCAGGAATGATGACCAGTCGTACCCGCCATCTCGCCCTTGTCTCATGTCGGCCCTCCCGACATGGGCCAACGGAGTTCTTGAGCGTCTTCAAGACAGCCGTTGAAAACCTCAATCTTGGCGAGGGCGCGTTGCTGTGGAGAGATCTTGGGATGTGGATGGCTTTGTTGTGAGCGTGAGTGGTTTCGGATCTGTAATATTGTCAGGGGTGTCCGTTAGCTTAGCCTGTCGCTCGTGATATTCGATGCTGTCTTGGCTGCTCCTGCATTGGTCACCAATGTTGGGGTAGTAGTGCTGGTAGTGGGACTGCTGTTGCGATCAATTTTCTGTTGTAGATGATCGGTGCTGCATCTTGGAAACGATAGCTTGCCTTGTTCCAAACAGGTACATACATGCGTCGTTTTTTTTGCTGTTGAGCGAAAGTGTTGTTCGGGTGTTCGTTAGCCTGTTGCTCGTCATGTGCGGTGCATTTTGTGTATCGGAAGACTTGCCTTACTCCTCCAGCTGTCCACGGCATGTGTCCGTGCGAAGCAGTTGATGGAACTTTTTTTCCTTTTTTGCCTGTAAGAAACAGTGTGTTTCCCCCCTGTAGGGGAGAAATCACGCCCCCCCCTCCCGGGGGAAGTTTATGGTAGACTGTCGAGAGCTAACGAACCCTTTTCGCATGTCTGGAGGCACCCACAGCGAAGTGCGGAAGGTCCCATGGGGTACTTTTTTTCCTCAGTTCTCAGGGGGATTTGGAAAACGGGGGTTTGTTGTATTTTGTGCAGGGGCCCCTTTTCGGGGGGGGGGGGGGGGGGGGAAGCGCTTGGAGCGGCAGCTATCTGTTAAGAGAGAGTGCACTGAAACAAACGCCATCGTTTGCGGGGGAGGACAACGAAGCCCACAAGATGCCATCGTATGAAACCGCTCTCGTATTGACTCGTGGATGTCGGCGGATGCTTGCGACCTGAAACGAAGGACCGATGGTGTAGACCGGCCCCGTGTACGGTTTTTGGTGGTTGATGGGGCGAAAGTAGTACCAATACCTCGTCGCTCAGCCCTCGGCTGTGTTGAGTTTTCTTGATTGTTGATGACATCCTCAGGGTGCGGAAGGACCGCCGTATGCATGCTTGGGCATTACGCTAAGGCGGGGTTTTTGCATTGCGTAGGTGGCCTGTTATAGGGTCAACTTGACTAGCGGAACGGCCGATATAGTGGCATCAAAAAATCTCTTGTAAATCTCAACATGTACGTGAACCCGATATACTTCGGATAGTGGAACTGCCCTGAATAGTGGCATATTGTGCTCTCACCCGTACTACATGCCACTGTATCGGGCCACCTACTGCAGAATGGCGACGCTTGCCGCCGGTGCATGCATTATTCGGTGAGGTTGTTGACGATTGTGTCCTTGCATCATCTGACGCCGTGTTGCGCGTCGCGCTCTTTCTTCTCTCGTTTTTTTTTTCTCTCTCAGGTGAACGGACGCATCATCTCGAAGCAGATCCACGTTCGCGTGGAGCACGTGTCGCCGTCCAAGTGCCGCGACGAGATGAAGAGGCGCGTAAAGGAGAACGAGGCCGCCAAGAAGGCCGCAAGGGCAGGAGGAGGTTAGTGCGACGGTGTACTGTACGTGGTTGGTGGTCGGTTTGTTGTCTCTGTACTAAAATACATTACGGTCGTTGGCTGTGCTGGTTGTTGGTTTTGGGTCGGTCTTGCCCAAGGCGGCAAGGGCAGGAGGAGGATAGTGCGACGGCGTACTGTACGTGGTTGGTGGTTGGTTTGTTGTCTCTGTACTACATTACGGTCGTTGGCTGTGCTGGTTGTTGGTTTTGGGTCGGTCTTGTCCAAGGCGGCAAGGGCAGGCGGAGGATAGTGCGGCGGTGCTCTGTTTTTGGCTCCGGGTGCCCGTTTGTCTTTGTGCTATACATAGTGCGGTGGTGCTGTGTTTGATGGTTGTTTCTGAGTTGTGCCGTCGTTGCCGTGCTTTTTGTTTTGGGTCTTGCGTATTCTCAAGGTGACTAGGGCAGGCAAGAGGTTATTGCGGCGGTGCTCTGTGTTGGCCCGTGTGTGGGCTTACCATCTCTTTTGGCACATCTCTACGCACGTTTCGGTGTATACGTTTCGTGTATGAGCCGAGGTCACATAGGAGCTCTTGTGCTATATTTTTTGTTTTCATGGGCCGCTTTTCCTCCTGCTGTGTCAGTTGGTGTGTGCCTGAGTACGAATACATCGCTACACTGTTTTTTTGTTTCACATGTCGTCCTACAAGTGCTCCTGGTAGAGATCAGCCCTTTATCTCTTGGGCAAGGTGCCGATCTTCTATCGATCCGTTTTTTCCGTCAACACGCATGCGGTTGAAGTCCTACCATAAGGTATCCCTCTCGTTGGCCCTCCTGCAATAATTCCATCGTTTTTTTAATTAAGATTTTCTCCTGTACCAAGCAGCACGGCTCTCATGACCCGTTCCTTGCCCCCCCCCCCCCCCCCCCCCCC